GTGCTTGCTCGTGCTGCAAAGGGCCTGCCCTGTTTGCCGATTCGTTTGGCTGGTGGTTGCTCAGGCTCCCATTGCTCCCTGCTCCGCTGGCGCTGGTCATGTTGGTTCCACTTTTTCTGGTCGTGGCGTGCACTCCTGTGGCTTCCCATTCCGCGGGCCCTCCTCGGTGCATTTTTTCCAGTGGCGACCCAACCCAAACCCACCCGCGACCCGCCGCGTGACCCACCCGACCGACCCACGACCCGCCCCGCGACCCGCCCAGTCACCCGCCCAGACCCACCCGCGGTTTGCCCCGAGAACCATCCGCGATAGCTGCCAGAGCCCAGGCTTGCAAACCGTCACAGCGACCCTCCTCCGAGGACGTGTCCAAGGACGCCGCGGTCGTGGCCCCCTTGCCCGCGGAACGCTCAGTGAAGCATCGGCGAGGGAGAGGATAAAAGGAGACGGCGCCCACGCAGAGCGGAAACTCACGCGCTGCATATGTTCAAGGTCGGCGAGTAGCGTACAAGAAGCGGAGCAGCCCGAGCCGGGGTGACCGCAGGCCTCCGCTGGAGCACGCCCCGTGGAGGGCGACGAGCACTGCGGCGGCACAGGCGACGGACTGCACACGTCGGGGAACACACGAGGCATCCTGGATGTTCCCAACACTTTCTGGGCGTCTGTGTGGGTTCCATCCGCGGGACCCAGGAGTAGCTTCCGAACGACGCGCTTCTCAACCTCTGGGAAATGCTCCGGCAAGGGGTCCACCGGCGCGAGGATGCCAACGACGGATACGGTGGAACCGTGATGGGCATCGGTGGCGTGCATCATGCCCATGCCAACGCACCGCTTGCCACAGACGGAAGTCCCTGTCCTCCATCGTCTTCAGACAGCCGTCCCAAGACTTGCCATTCCGCCCGGGGCCCCCGTAGACCCCGAGATATTCTGCGGCGTCGGCCGCTTCCATGGCGCCCCAAAGTGGCGCCGTCTGCTGCAGCTGCTCTCGAGCGTCCAGCGTCAGCTCACCAAACAGAAGACGTCCGAGGTTACGGAGGCCGTCTTCCGAGACTTGGCGAACTCTGAGCGGCCCCCTGCGCAGCTGGAGGAAGGATGGTCCACGGCGGATCGTCTGACGTGGAGCCCGACTGGGTGCGCTGGCGGCGCCTTCGCTGGTGCGAGGACCCCCCCCGAGCGAAACGAGAACCGTTTTCTTCACGTTCAGCTCCAACCCGAGGAGCAGCGGGCCCACGTGGGCGGCATCGTCGGCGTAGGCCCAGGTGGTGCCGGAAGGGAGGACGCGCGTCCTCTTGAGAAGCAGGAGTTCGGTCGCCACTGCAGACGATGATGGAGAGAGGGAGCAGCCTTGGCAGATGCCCCGTCCGATATCGAAGCCGCGATATCGCGCGCCATCGAGAGCCATGTCTCGGTAGTTGTCCTGGTGCAGCACCTCGGTGAAGTTCACTCGCCAGCAAGGCCCCCCCAGCGACTCGAATACGGCCATTCGAAGAGGCCATTCCACAGAGGGGCTGTACGCGCTGGCACCATGATGTGGTACACAAGAACGTCGCCGCTCGTTCTGCACGACCAAGCCTTTGTCACGGCACCCAGTGCAGCCTGATCGTACAGGAAGGATTGGCTTCAGCAGCGACGAAGGCTTAGCGAATCAAGAGGAACGGGGCACTGCCTACACATGAAGATGGGTGGCTAAGAGAAGAAGGAAGGGGAGGAAGTCGCGCCGGGCGCAACCCCCCCCCTTCTCAACCTCCGCCTCCGCATCTGTTGGACTGGACCCCCACTTCTCCCGACTGCCCTCCACGTGGCTCCTCCCGCACCCGCCGGTGGCTCACGGGGCGATGCCTGCCAGCTGTGCGCGGCGGACCTCGGAACGGGGCGAGCCAAGACAGCGGCAGCTCAGCATGGGTCCCTGGACCCCTCCTGGGGCCCAAAACGCACCCATTGGCCGTGGTGCGTCCAGCCGTGGCGGCGAGGGCCACCCCCCGGAGGCCAACTAATTGCCGCTGTCGCAGCGGGCCCCCCTCTGCACGCCGAGCCCGGCAGGAGAACCACGAGACCCCCGAGGTGGCTAAATCGGCTCGGCGCTCCTCCTCCTCCTCCTCCTCCTCCTCCTCCTCCTCCTCCTCCTCCTCTTCCTCATCCTCCACTTCCTCCCCCCACTCCTAGCCCTTTCGATCAGGGTCGGCGGCACCGGCCGTCAGGCCTGTCCAATCGGCTCGGCGCTCCCGACCTGCCCAGGTCGAGCGAAGCGCAGCGGCGGCGAGCTCACCGCTGCGGCTCTCGCCGCCCACGCGCCGCCTGGTGCATGGCTTGTCTGTCTGATTGCCAATCTCACTCGGTCTGCCCAGGCGCGCTTTCGCGTGCCGTCAGGGGCCCGGCCCGCCGCAGCCGGTCAGCAGACCGCTTCCTCCTCCTCCTCTCCCTGCTCTCGCCGCCCACTCGCTCGAAGGCGAGGCCGCCCGTGCTTGCTCGAGCTGCGCGGCGGGCCGGGGCGTGCCAAGCCCGACGGTGCACTGCGTTTTTGTCATCCTTGGGAGGTCCGTTCCCCATCTGCCAGCCTTCCCGAACTGAAGGGGAATTGGAACACACAAATAAACACACACAAATTAAAACAAAAATCCCCATATGTTCTCATATTTTCGGGGTTTTTGTCTTCCCCCCCACTTCCCATAGTTTCCCATATTTTCTGGGGAATGGAGGATTACTTGTGTCTGTGTGTTTCTTTTCCTCCTGACGAGCGTGCGGGCGTCGTGAAGCAGTCGCGCCGGAAAAATGTGTCGGCCGCCTGCGGCCCCGATCGGGGGTCCCTCGTCGGGCCCCGGGGTCGTCAGCGAGCAACTCGTGGTGCAACACGCTGCACTCGGGGATCGGGACTCCCAGGGACCCCATTGCAGCACACCGAAACAAAGCATTGTGCGTCTTGGCTTCCGTCGGCGCAGCAGCTTCTGGTCGCTGCCCCCCAATCCTGCCCGAGCTTTGGAACTGACGCCCCACCCGCAGCGCCGCGTAGTCACAACAGATTGGAACGGGCACCGATTAAGAGCATGAAAAACAGGAGCATTCTGTCTCGGAGGTCCGCGCGGATGTCTTGGATCGGCGCTGGACCCCTCTCCCTGGCGCGCGGAACGCGCCAGGGCAGCTCCAACACCGATCCAAGAAATCCGCGCGGATGTCCGCTAACCTGTGTTTATGCGGTGTTGTGTGCTTCGATCCGCCGGCGTGCCAGCTACCTCTGCGCCAACCTGCTCGTCGTCGCCTTCCTCGCAGTGTCATTCGTCCTTCTGGGCAGATGCCCCAACTCTGCCCCAGCTGGCCGCCGAGCCTGCCGATCGCAGCCAAAGGGGAGGGCTCATGCCTATCAAAACCAAGGCATGCTCGATGGATCAAAGCCGTCGAGGGCGTCTCGGTAAAATCTTAGCAGGCCTTCAGGGCGTGAGTGGCTTAGAGCGCTTCCTCTTCCAACGACCCCTTCTTCCCCGTCGGGTAGGGGTTTACCTCTCCTTCCATCCCCTCCCCGTGGGTCTGGAGGGAGGAGTGGGGGTCGCGGGCCGCTGGAGCGTCCAAGGTGGCCTCGGCGAGAAGGCAAGAACCAATGAGTTGTTCAGGTGTTGGGATCATGCTTGCCTCATGGGGGGGGCGACGCTAATCTGGTACCCCCCCCTTCGACGATCGATCTCCTCCAAGGTGGTCCCCAAGGCTCCCAAGAGTGCTCCAGCTCTAAGAGGGCCCCAAGAGGCGCCCAGAGGCCCCGAAAAGCCTCCAAGAGGTCCGCAAGAGGCTCCTAAAAGGCCCCCAAGCGGCCCCAAGAGGCCCCCCCAAGGCACCTCAGACGCTTCAAGAGGCCCGCGGAACCGCCAAGAGGCCCCGAAGCAAGAGACATCCGAAGAGACTCCGAGACGCATCCAAGACGCCTCTGGCCTTTCTGCTCGCCCTCCTCCTCATCCTCCTCCTACTCCTTCTCCTCCTCGTCCTCCTCCTCATTCTCATCCGCCAATTCCTCTTCCTCCTCCTCCTCCTCCCTCATCCCTTCTCCCTCCCCCTCCTCCTCATATTCCTCTTCCATCCTCCCCCTCTTGGGACCTGACGTCTTACACAGCCCTTTGTGTTCCACTGCATATTCCTCCACATCCCTGATGATGGCAACTCGTCTGGACATCGTGTCTTTGTGGTCTGGTGGGGTCGCGTGGAAAATCTAGAACGAAGAAGAAAGAGTTGGTCGTTGAAGCCGTCGAACGTATCCCTCCCGACGGTGTGAACATTCACGTGGAAAGGGAAACCATTGGTTTCCCTTTCGACGTGAACGTCCCGCCATCGACGATACAAATGCGTGACAGGACCAGGACGATGCGGCGCACATCGCGCGCGCGCGAGCGAGCGAGACATCGCCCACGTCCGAGCACCGCTCAGAGTGTGAACGCGGCCCATACGTTGCTCTCAGCAGTCCCACCAGCGCTCTCGATGCGCCGCTCTCAGCGGTCCCCATACGTCGCTCTCGGCAGTCCCATACGTTGCGGCCCAGAACATCTGGCCGCGCGCGAGCCGAACCGCCGCCCGGGGAACCTCTGAGAGCCCCGCTTCCGCCCGTGCGCAGCCCGTGCCCTCCCCCCTCGCCGGGTCGTGCTCCCGCGTGCGCGCGCCCCCCGTCTGCCAGGCAGCGGGGCGCACGCCAGTCCCAGCACACAGCTGCCCCGGCGTTGCCTCTCGCGTCGCGGGGAGGGGGGCGAGAGCGGCCTTGGCCCGCGGACTCGCCCGAGCTGGCTGGCCTTCGGGCACGCGCCAAGGTGGACGAGAGAGCGCCAGACCCACAGGGTCGGGGCAGGCACCCGCCCCATGAAACACGTGAGGCCAGTGCCGCCTCACTCGGCGAGCGGGACCCGTTGCCAGTGCACGGGCCTTGGTCCAGGCTTGCGCTCCCTCGAAACCTGACTGTCCTCCAACTCATCCTCTCCCCCCGGGGGGCAGGCGCCGCATGCCGGAGCAGATGGGCGCGCGGCGGCGCCGGAGTCCTTCTGCCAGGTGCTCAGCACCACGTGCAGGGTACCTCCCCGCGCCTCCCCCCCGCGCACTCCGATGAAGGCGCCAGCCGTTCCTCGAAGCAGCCCTCTCCACAGCATGCAGTCGTCGCGCTATCGTTAGGTCGGGCATGTGTTTGGAAGACAAATGAAAAAGAGTCAAACCAATATTTAAACATAGCAAAACCAACAATCGTGTCCAGACTACGTTCTTGATTATTTATTGAATTTTCCCCCTGCAGAGGGACATGCCCGACTTAACGCTAACGTGCTTCGGGAACCCCTTGTCGAGAAACAAGAAGGTTGTTCCTGGCCGCGGCGACCCTCGTCCGCGGACGGGTTCCCCCGGACCTGGATCCAAGGAGCGGCCTGGAAACCAGAGCCACTCCTGAGCCCACCGTGGTCCTTATCGTAGCGCCCCGGCGCTGCAGCTCCGCAGGGGAGGAGACGACTGCCCTGCGCGGAACCGATGCCCCAACTCTCCACGCGAGCAGGTGCAGCTGATCGGGCCCACTTCTGTTGGAAGGCCATGGTGCTGCGACGATCAACAGCACCGCTGTGCAGAAGATCCACGAGATCTCCCGGACCGACACCAAGTCGGGCCAGGACCGCCCTGGGCCCAGGATCGGCGCATGCGCCCACGTGGCTTGACCAGGAAGGCGTCCCCACACATCCGCCTGTATGCTTTGTCGAATCCGCGGCCCGGGATCTCTCCTTTTTGAAGGGGCCCAGGGACACACAAATAAATACACACACAAGTAACAGGATTCCCAATCTTTTCCCATATGTTCAGGGTTCGTGTCTTCCCCCCCACTTCCCATATTTTCCCGGGAGTCGACGATGAATTGTGTCTGTGCTTTTCTTCCCCTCCCGACTTTTTTCCTCCCTGGGAGTGCTGCTTCGTCCTGGGCCCCTGCTCGATGGCCCCCGGGGCCCGAAGTGACGAGCACCCCGTGCCGAACTCGAAGAACAACGCTGGGACTCTGGCTTCCATGCCCGGCCTCCGCGGAACGCCGCCCCACACGCGCAGCGTCCCCGATTGCAGCCGGTCCCGGGGCGGCGCGGGGGCGCCTCTGGCACTGCTCTGCAGGAACACCAGCTCTGCGTTCTGCACCGCCGTGCGCTTGCGGGCCTCGAGGCGGCAGTAGACCCGCCAGGTCCGCCAGGTCTCCTGTCTGGGAACGGTGGGCCCGCTGGGCACTCGGGAGAGGACATCCCAGGTCCCCCGCGAACCGGTTGGCAGCTCACTGCAACGCGGTCGTATGTTGTCGTGCCACCTTCGTAAGACAAAGAGCTCGCAGGGTCTGAGGCGCCCTGAACTGTTTCAATACCCTCAAGCCCACCGCAAGGCGAGAGACGTCAACGGGGAGAGCAAGGAGGGTTGAGGGAGCGAGAAGACGCAAAGGGCAGGGAAACTCAACCACACAAGGTCTCCTACACTTCAGGATATGCGATGTTGGAATATGCATGCCAGGGTTCGACCTTTTAAATAAGTTCTCGTCGTCGCAAAACGAAGATACGACAGGCCTGCCAGCCCGTCCGTGCCAGTGGTCCACGGATGGTGCCGGCGCTGGCAAGGGTTCCCAGTTCTCGGTCGAAGTCCCACCCGATTGGTAACTTACGTCAATATGTCCACCCGCATGCAATGCCACCCGCCAAACGGGTTAGACACATGTGGTCCCAGCATGACGTTCCAACCGTCGGGTCCTGGACATGTGGTCCTCGCAGTGCGGATCCACACTAATGAAGAGTGCCACCGACTGGGTCTCGCCCCTGGAGTCCCGACCAGAGAGGCCCACGCTTGAGCAGGGAACGATCGTCCTGGCATTCCTATAGGCCTACCACTACCACGAAATTGTTTCAGAACCCGAACCTGCTCTAACAACAAAAACAATGTTCTTAGGACAGAAGCCCGATTGATTAAAACAAGACACTCTCAGCCAGAAATGTTCTAAGAACACTTCGTGCAACCCACACAAAGCTCTCAAATCATTCTTTGGTGGGCCTATAGGCAAGCCAGGACGCCTCACCACTGCTTGATACGCAGCGTCCCGCACATAACCAAAGGGTCCCACCCGCAACCGCAGGGTCCTGCCCACAGCCGCCCCTCCTCCCTGCCCCCCAGAGTCCCACCCAGAGGGTCACGGCAGCAATGTTAAACCTGTAGGAGCCCCATGTCCGACCTGTGGGGTCTCAGGCACGGGGCCCCGCTCATGACACGGGGAGCCATCCAGAGGGTCGCGGAGCCCTCAGCAGAGCGACCCGCCCGTGGGGTCCCCAGCGCAAGTCTCGTCCACAGGGTCACACTCGTACGGCAGGTTCGGGTCGTGCCGACTTCGGAGTTGGTGTCCTCAACGTCAGATCGTTGGATGTCGATCGATTCTGGGTCGCCGTCGGCGTTCAAAATTGAACGCCGGCCGCACGAGTCGCCGCCGGTCGACACGACGCGAACCTACCCTAGGCGGTGGGCACCAGAAAGGCCACACCCTTAAAAAGTCTACCCAAGCAGTCCGACCCATTATTTGCAGCCCACCTCTCCCACCATAGATTGCTCTCACAAGGTGCACCCCCCAGGCTGCATCCCCTAAACTGCACCCAACGTGTCTGCACCCCGGAATTGCAACCCTCAAGTTGCAACGGGCCGATCGTGCCACACATGTTGTACACACGTTCCATGTGTATGCAGACCATCCTAGCCCAACCGGTATCGGTTCTCTCCGCCATCGCTGTCATATGCAGCTAGGCACGAAAGCACGTTTATTTCGGAAGGTCACTACTTCGCAATCATACCATGCAACACGATACCATAAAAAACAACGCATGTGCACACATGTCGAAATCTCACCAAACACAAGAGTCTCACCATAAAAGCCGGAACACATCATCCATTGATTTCGCGAGGAAGCGTATGCAACTTCCCAAGCGCACTTGCTGAAACCATACGTCTAACGGTGCATCCACGTTGATGTGTCGTGCGCCCAGAGCATCAAACCGTGACACATCAAATCATTCGAGCCATCCGTGCGCCGCCACGCGCGCGTGCCACACACGGGAAAAAGGGTTCGAAGCATTTCGATGTATAGTTCTTCACCAACGCATGGACTCATGGACAGCCAAAAGTATGTAATCAGAAAGTCTGCCAGATTGCTTGGATTCCTACGCGTGCGCACCTTCTCAGCACCCGATGAACACCATCGCATCGCCGCCGAAATCGTCATCGACAATCGCCGCCATAGCCGCCATCTTCCGCAACATCATGTGCACCACCGGCAGATGTGCATCATCATCGCCATCGTCGTCACCAAGATCGGCGCTCTCAATGGCCCTGTAATCGTCATCGCCACCATCGCCATCATCGTTGTCGCCTTTGTCGCCGTCATCGTGATAGCGCGCCCGCCCGAATCACCGATTCTCGCTGAAGTGCCCGAGCACCATCGAGGCATTTGAGACGCGCTAGAAGCTCCCATCGGTAAGCGGGTAAACGTCATCGCGGCCGCATGTAGTGACAAAACAGCTTGTCGTTCTGCGCGCGCGTGTCGTGGCCGAGTGGATTTTGCCAAACAAGTTGCGGGTGGGAGGGTCGGAGGCTTGCGTGAAAAGTGGAGCTGGCAACTTGAAGTTCGTCATGCTTAACTACACGCTATTGCTTATACCCGACGCTGTGCACTTTAAACCGTTAGCGTTACTTTGCCGAACCAGCGAAAACGAACGAAACCGAATCGCGAACGCCAAGTGACTTGTCGCACACAAAATGATTGCTTGGAACCTACGCGCCACCACCACCGCTGGCATCTCTGCTCGCACGTAATCGAGTTTTTGGCCCAGCAGGTGGCGTCATCGAAGCCAACATCCCAATATGCTTCACCGTATTGTTGATTATAGGGGGGAACGCGGCTGCGGAAATTGAGCACTTCCGATTCAGGGTCAATTGTCAATTGTCATACACTCGTACTAGCAAAATTTGGATCGAGCGCCAGCGAGAGGAAACTCAACAACCCCCCCCTTGAGAATGGTCGGTTGCCTTGCAAAGCTGCGACAATGTGATGGACTACACCTCGACTGCGACAAAATGATGCGCGCGTCAGTCACAAGTGTGTATATACACATACCCACATCTATCTGCGGGTATGTATGTATGTAAACAGTTATGCGCATACATATATATATATATATATATATATATTATACATGTATATGTTTCAAAAACTCCATTTTCTATTTTTTTGCATCGGCGAACCTGTGACCCCACCCCTTAAACGGAAACCCCAGATCCCTGGCCACGGGCAAGTCCCCCTGCACACCCTTGCAGAAGCTCCCCAAAGCGTTTGGGAGCTCCTGGGGGCCTCTGCTGGGCCCAGGCAGCGGGCCCAAATCGGTCAGAGGGGCGGCCGAACGAACGGCCCCCCGAGGCCCCAAACGCACACCAGACGCCCGAAGACGACCCACTGAACACCTCCAAGAACCTTTGGAAGTGCAGGAAGTACAAATGATTTCGAATTGCTTCTGCATGTTTTTGGAAACGCTCTGTTTTTCGACCTTTCAGGCGTCCGAGACTCCGAGACCGCCCAAGGGGCCCGGCAATCATGCCAAAACTATCCGAAAAGAGTTTCCTGGCAATCCAAGAGACCCCCAAAACGGCCCAACATGGCCCCAAGGTGGCCCGAAGAAAGCCTAATGACGGCCCAAGATGGCCCCAAGACGCCCCTCGAAGCGTTCCAAATCGTGACCCTGTCGCTCAAGGAGACGGCAGTTGGAAGCAGGCTGGCCCGGGGAAGCCCCCAGAGGCCCCCCCGAAAGCGCCCAGGAGGCCCACAGGAGAAGGAATTGAAGGCGTCGTCGACTGCAATGCTAAACAATGCAACCACCTGATCTGAAAACGCAGAACAGAATCCAGCTAACACCCAAGACCAATGAATCGTGCTCTTGCTAGCGTTGTTTCTGGATTTCTTGCTGGGACCTCAGCAACAAGCTGTTCAGACATTGCTTTCCAACACGCCGAGCTAAAACCTGGAGAAACAACACCCCTGGGCAGACTGAAGAAGAACCAAGCTACACGCAGCTCCCTCTCAAACGAGCTCCCCGTGGCCACGCCGCACGCCAGCCCCCCGGCCGCGCCCCCCGGAAGCCGAGCCCTCATGTGTGCCAGCAGGCGAAACAAGCGAGCATCTGTGATGCATTAGGGGGCCACATGCGAGCCCTACCCCTACCCCCCACGATTTCCGAGGGGGAGGGTGGGGTTCACTTCGCTCGGTAGCTCCCGAACGAAGTGAACGCCACCCTCCCCATCAGAAATCGTGGGGGGTAGGGGTAGGGCTCGCATGTGGCCCCCTAATGCATCTCTCGCCGCACGGTGCGCCGCGCTGCGAGGCCGCGCTCCTTCTTCATCACCCTGGCGCCACCGGCGAAGAACCGGGACGCGATGCCGAGTCGGATCGCCTCCGGGCTGTGTGAGGGGAGGGAGGCGGGCCCTGCCCCTCCCTCGGGAAACGAGCAATGGCATAAGCACACATTTCCTGAGGTCCGCGCGGATCTCTCGGATCGGCGCTGGAGCACCCCGAGCGGCGCCTCTGGCGCCGACCCCCGCGCCCTCCGCGCGCCAGAGGAGGGGGGATGCCACGCCGATCCAAGAGACCAGCGCGGACCTCCGACAGTTCTTTTGCGCACGCCCCACTACTTGCTCCTCGCCACCCACTCCTAAAACAGGGCTAGGATCGGGATAAATCGCTCCAGAGCGTTCCGGAGCGCTCTCACAGCGTTCCGGGACGCTCTGGAGCGGCCGCGGCGCCCAATGCATCCTCCAAACCCGCCGATCCTCAGAGATTTCGAGTTATCCCGATCCGATTTTGTCCCGATCTTCGCGTCGTTTTACCTCCCCTGCCCTCCCATCTGCCCCACTCCGAGAGCCGAAGCCCAGGGCCCCGCGCCGCCTCCGCGGCCGAGCGCGATCGCGCGGCGCCAAGCCTGCGCCCCAGCTCAGCTCAGGCAGTGCCCAGCCTCCTCCTCTTCCTCCTCCTTTTCCTCCTCCTCCTTCCTCCTCCTCCTCCTCCTCGTCGTCCTCCTCCTCCTCCTCCTCCTCCTCCTCCTCCTCCTCCTCCTCCCCCTCCTCCTCCTCTCCTCCGCTCTGCTCAGACGCCTGCCCCGCTCGGGCCAGCCGCGAGGGCGGCTCGCTGCGCCGGCCAGCCACGGAGCCGAGGCACGGGCAGGCGAGGGGTGCGGCGCGCCAGGGGAAGGAAGTGGAAGCCCGCTGCTTCGTGAGCTCGGCCGTGCCTCTGTCGGCGAGCCAGGCGAGCTCCGCGCTGGCCCTCCGAGCGGAGCTCACCCTGCACGGCTCGCGCACCAGTCGCGCTGGCCCGACGCGCAGCGCCTGCAGGACGGGCCGGACGGGGGCGCTACCCCCGCAGCCCCAGCTGGGACCCCACGAGGCGCAGGGCCGCTGGCGGCGACGCAGGGCCGTGGGCCGTCCATGCGCCCAGCACAGCCAGTGGGCGTAGCCTCAGGTCGGGCCTGTCCCCCTACAGGAGGATTTCGGACGAGAGATCAATAATATACCAAAACCCTTCCAAAAGATGCCCCAAAAATAATCCAACAGTAGTCCCCAGACTACTTCTTGACTATCTTGAATATTTCCCACTGTAGAGGGACAGGCCCGACTTGAGCGTAGCCGTGGAGGACGCTCGGGAAGGCCTGCGGCACTGGGCGCGGGGCGGCGCGCGTCCCCGTGCGGCGCGGCCACGAAGCCGTGACGCATCAGGGTCATGCCCATGGGGCTGGCGGTGTGAGCGCCGCGCCCACTGGCGGCCAGCGGGCCCTCGGACATGCGGGCCCCATCAGGCGGCATGCCGCGCAGCCGGAGAGCACTCTGGCCCTCTGCGCACGGAGCGCGCGCTCGCACGTGGCCAACACGACGGACCCCCACGCGGCCGCGGCGACCCCACACATCCCTGCCGCGTGGGAACGATGGCAGGGTCACCGAGTGCCTGACCAGGGCGTCGGCGCCGCAAAGGCCTGAAGATGCCGCACAGCAGAAGTTCTTGGCGCCGATGGTCGCCGCGGGCACCTTTTTTGCTCCTTCCCCCGACCTCCCCACATCTTCTGGCCAAGATCATGTGTGCCCCTCTCCGTGCGGGGTAGCGCCGAGCCTGCCCGGCTGGGCCACCACCTTTCGCACGATCGACTCTTCGCTGGACCCCTTCCGGGCGAGGGCCCGTGTGTGCTCTTGCTCTCTCTTCTCGCGCCCGTCGTTCTGCACCTGCCTGGCCCCGTCGTGCACAGGTTGGGCGCCCGAGTTATCTGGGGAAGCTCGGGTTTGGATTCCCGGAAAAGGAACCCGAGTTAGCTTTGACCCGAGTTACCCCTGATGATGTGGGGCTCCGGACGCCCGAATTATCCCGGGTAACTCGGGTCCGGGGTAACTCGGGTTCAGATTCCCGAAAAACGAACCCGAGTTAACCCTGACCCGAATTACCCCTGATGATGAGGGGCTCTGAGCAGGCACGGCGCGCAGCGGCGTGCGGGCGCTTCCGCGCACCGCAAACGGCCCACGCAAGCGAATCGCATCCCGGCGGTCTGTGGCACTCTTGGCACGCCTTCCTCTGCGTCCTGCAGTCGGACGTGCCGCTTCCTTGCGGCGCACGCGCGTTCACTCCAGCGGATGAGTTGGGTCTCGCTGTCCCAATCCCCGGCTCGTCTACTGCCTCGTGGCTCGGGGCCTGCTGTGCATTTGGCCGTGGCTCGCTGCAAGGTTCGTCGCCGGCTCGATGGAACTCGTCGTGGCTGCGCTGCAAAGGGGAGTGCCTGCTGTCGATTCCGTTGCGAATCGCCTCTTGACTTGCTCGTGATCCTCTACCTGGCGTGGTGATATCGCGACGTGGGCTCGGAGCCCGTGGTCAGCGGCCCGTCGCGACAGCGCCATCCTGCCAGCAGGGCCGGGTGCGCCGTGGCAGGGTACATGTCATCGGCAGTCGCTCGCAAGCAGGCACCTCACAAGAAATTATGCTATGGGTGACTCCATCGGAGGCTCCCCAGGCGTTACAGGCTTCAGAGTGCAGCTCCGCCCAGCACGAGCCGCTGGCAGGGCTCCTATCATGATGATTGCACGTTCAGCGTCTGCAAAAACGCCAAGCCTGGAAAAGTCGAATCGGCGGAAACCGAAGCCCAAATCGGAATTCGAAATCGCACCGAATCAGGATCAAGAGCGATCGAAGTCGAATCGAACTACGTCGGAGGAGTCGGAATGAGCTCTGATACGACAACGGCTCCCATGCACTGTGCCATGCCTGGACTCCCTTCGGGCCCCGCTCCAACGTGGTACGGTGCACAGTTTTTGGGCTCCCAAGGGCCGATCCATCATGTGCCGTACCATTCCTGGGCCGAAGACCGACAACACCTCCGGAGATGCCAACGCGACACGGTGCACACGGCTCGTCTGTGGGGACTCCGAGACTGTGTGCACCAGGCGCCGACGGCACCAACAACACGTTGGGAGGCGGCCAGGGGCCAGAGCTCTGAGATGGCTGGGCCTCGAGAAGATTGGCCAAGAGGGACTCACTGCGCAGTTTCCTCTGGTGGAGGGCTCAGGGTGAGATCCACATGGGCGTTCGCACCTCGAAAATCAAGCCGTCGTGTGATTCACCTTATGCAGACTGCCTCGGAAATCCACCGAAACGGCATTGCAGATGTCACCCCTTGCCCGCCACCCACACAGGAAATGCTCGGAAGGATGAAAGCACATTCGCTCAGTATCGGTCCCCGGACCCCTCCTGGGGCCCAGCTGGTGCAATGCTCCACACCGGATCCGCTTTAAAACGCCCCCGGGGCCTGAACACGGCCCCAGGAGCCCGAAAAAGGTGCAGCATTAAGTCGGGCGTGTCCCCCTACAGGGGGATTTTGGGCGAAAAATGAACAATACTCAAAACATACCCCCCAAATATTCAAAAATAGTCAAACAAATCTTCCCCATATTATGTCTTGCTGTAGAGGGACACGCCCGACGTAAGTACAGCATCTGGTCGAACCCAGCGCCCCGAACCTCCTCCCACCCCCCTTCCCTGTAGGTGGCGCGCCCGGGGGGAAGTGAGAAGGGGCGCGCCTTCGCTCAGAAGGCTCGGAAGTTTCCAGGCCTGATTCTGAGAAGTATGCTGAGCCTTCCCCGAAGACGCGACAAACCTCTCAGAGGGCGCGAGGGCTTCTCGGGGATGGACAGACCCCCCTTTAGTAAAACGTGGTTTAGTGAAAACGGCCTGAGGCCCAAACCTGGCGGGCGCAAGCCTGGAAAATAACGACCGCGGCGCCCTCTCGAGTACCGAAAACGGACAATTCACTAATCGACGTGTCAGGGTAGGAGGTCTACCCAGTCCCGACCGAAGACGCGAAAAACCTCTCAGAGGGCGCGAGGGCTTCTGCGGAGTCCTTCCGAGGAGGCCTTCTCTCCTTTACCCCCCCCCTCGGTCCCCGCCGATCCTGCTCGCCGCAGCCAATGCTGGGCGACTGGGCCACGCCAGACCCTCGGCCGGCTGCAGCCAGGCGAGCTGCTGGGCGCGCCCGGGGGGAAGTGAGAAGGGGCGCGCCTTCTCAGAAGGCTCGGAAGTCTCCAGGCCTTCTGAGAAGTATGCTGAGCCTTCCCCGAAGACGCGAAACACCTCCCAGAGGGCGCGAGGGCTTCTGCGAAGTCCCGCAGCCTTCCGAGGAGGCTCGCCGCCGATCCTGCTCGCCGCAACCGGTGCTGGGCTGCTGGGCCACGCCAGAGCCTCCGCCGGCTGCGGCCAGGCGTGCTGCTCGGCGCGCCCGTGCTCGCCGACGAGGGAGACATGGGAACAAGGAAAGGCGACACCAACACCACCAGGGCGAGGAGGTGCGAGGAGGCAAGAGGGGGGAGGTGGCCCCCCCATCTCGCTCGCGAGATGCCCAGCCCCTCCAGCCTGGGGAGCCCTCGTGGCCCTCCTCACTGGAGGTGGGCCCCCTGGTGCGGGGGCGGCGCGCAAGCATGGATTGCCGATCGCCATGTGTTCTGGCGCGCGGTCGCCAGATCCATGGATCGGGGGAGGTGCCCTTCTCCAAGATGCGGCCGGTGCCGCCTCGCTCGGCGGCGGAAGCCCGCGACTTCCCACGGGAGCGGGACCCGTCGCTGAGCCACGCCCCCTTTTGATCCATGCTTGCGATGGCCCGAGAGCAGTCGTTAAGATAAGGCTAGGATCGGGATAAATCGTTCCAGAGCGTTCCGGAGCGCTCTCAGAGCGTTCCGGAACGCTCTGGAGCGGCCGCGGCGCCCAATATACATCCCCCAAACCCGCCGATCCTCAGAGACTTCGAGTTATCCCGATCCGATTTTGTCCCGATCTTCGTGTCGTTTTCGTCGTGCTGCGCGGCGCCCGTGCCCGCAGGCGAGGGAGGGCGGGGGCAGGTCTGCAGGGCCCCCCTGCCGGCGGCCTGCCTGGGCCGCCGCGGTGCCGCCGCGCTGCCGGTCCGCGTCCGCCTTCCGCCGGAGCTCCTGGACGCGCGGCGTCCGCCGCCCTCCCTCTCTCTCTCTCTCTCCAGTATATGGACAATATCTATATATAGATATATACATATATATAAACATGTAGATACATACACAACCATATATACACATATACACATATACATATATACATATGCAAATATATGAATATATATGTATATATATTCATATATATATGTATATATATGTATATATATATATATATATATCCTAAACCTTACACATTCGAGTGAGCTTCTGAATCGCCCCCACGCCCTCGACATCAGTGTAACTCTCAGTGAGAGGGCGGTGCCTTTTTGGGGGCTTCGCATGCTGCTGTCCACTCGAGGCCCCCTCCGCCGTCACGTCATCAGGAATACTTTTAGGGGGGTCCGGGGGGCATCTTGGGCCACAAGGGGACCCAATATCATGTCCATATACGGTGCCTCTTTCTCTCTCTCTCACACATACGGTTCCTTGATAATCTACAGTCAACCCGCAAAGTAAGGAGGAGCAACCTTCCCAAGGTTACCCTTGCATTCTTCCCAATTCGGCCCATCCTTGGCCGGCTTCGCTTGCCGCGCTCCGCCCGCAAAGTGCCGGCATGGCCTTTCAAGGCCTTGCCTCCTGATCGCGCATCATTGCTATGCGGGTTGATTGTACCCCTAACTAAACGAACCTCAACTACCCCTGCTGCGCGAAATTTGACCACTCTGCGTCACTATACGGTTCAGTACGAGCCACGTCTACATCGCAGGGGGGGGGGCTGTGAAGGGCTATGCCACTCCTTGCCCAAAACCTTGCCCCGATGTGCGGCCGTCGCGATCGCCGCGGCGCCCTCCCAAACCGACCTGGAAGTTTGGTCCGGGGCCAATGCCACGACAACGAGCACAGACGAACTGGTCAGGAACTCTTGCGTAGCGGGTGGCAGCGGCTGCCCCGGCGACGCGCTATGCCCCGCGAGCGGACAGCGTGTCGCGCCGCTCCGCGGGGCGGCCGGCTGGGAACGGCTCGGGACGTTGGACCAAGATGCGGAGAGCGTGCCGCGCCGAGGCGCGGCGTGGGCCAGAACCGGCCGGGCGACATGCTTCCAAACAATTCTGGACCGTAATGCGGGATGACGATTAATAAAATTATCCCGGCAAAGCAACCTAACAGCGATGTGAAGAAGCATATCTGGAAGCATTCCCCTTGAGATTCAGATGAGAATCCAGTTGTAGAATTCTGCTGTTCTCGCAGTCGCAGTCGCATTCGCGATGACAATCGCCGTGGCAACGGCAGTCGCAGTCACAGCCTCAGCCTCAGTCTGCCTCAGCCTCAGCCTGCCTCAGCCTCAGCTTCAGCCTGCCTCAGCCTCAGCCTCAGCCTGCTTCAGCCTCAGCCTCAGTCGGCCTTCAGCCTCGGCCTCAGCCTCAGCCTGCCTCGGCATCAGCCTGCATCAGCCTCAGCCTCAGCCTGCATCAGCCTCAGCCTCAGCCTCAGCCTGCCTCAGCCTCAGCCTCAGCCTGCTTCAGCCTCAGCCTCAGTCTGCCTTCAGCCTCGGCCTCAGCCTCAGCCTGCCGCAGCCTCAGCCTGCATCAGTCTCAGCCTCAGCCTCAGCCTGCCTCAGCATCAGCCTGCCTCAGCCTCAGCCTGCCTCAGCCTCAGCCTCAGCCTCAGCCTCAGCCTCAGCCTCAGCCTCAGCTCAGCCTCAGCCTGCCTCAGCCTCAGCCTCAGCCTGCCTCAGCCTCAGCCTGCCTCAGCCTCAGCCTCAGCCTGCTTCAGCCTCAGCCTCAGTCTGCCTTCAGCCTCGGCCTCAGCCTCAGCCTGCCTCAGCCTCAGCCTGCATCAGCCTCAGCCTCAGCCTCAGCCTGCCTCAGCATCAGCCTGCCTCAGCCTCAGCCTCAGCCTGCCTCAGCCTCAGCCTCAGCCTGCTTCAGCCTCAGCCTCAGTCTGCCTTCAGCCTCGGCCTCAGCCTCAGCCTGCCTCAGCCTCAGCCTGCATCAGCCTCAGCCTCAGCCTCAGCCTGCCTCAGCATCAGCCTCAGCCTCAGCCTCAGCCTGCCTCAGCCTCAGCCTCAGCCTGCTTCAGCCTCAGCCTCAGTCTGCCTTCAGCCTCGGCCTCAGCCCTCAGCCTCAGCCTGCTCAGCCTCAGCCTCAGCCTCAGCCTGCCTCAGCTCAGCCTCAGCCTCAGCCTCAGCCTCAGCCTCAGCCTCAGCCTCAGCCTCAGCCTCAGCCTCAGCCTCAGCCTCAGCCTCAGCCTCAGCCTCAGCCTCAGCCTCAGCCTCAGCCTCAGCCTCAGCCTCAGCCTCAGCCTCAGCCTCAGCCTGCCTCAGCCTCAGCCTCAGCCTCAGCCTGCCTCAGCCTCAGCCTGCCTCAGCCTCAGCCTCAGCCTCAGCCTCAGCCTCAGCCTGCTTCAGCCTCAGCCTCAGCCTGCCTCAGCCTCGCCTCAGCCTCAGCCTGCCTCAGCCTCAGCCTCAGCCTGCCTCAGCCTCAGCCTCAGCCTCAGCCTGCTTCAGCCTCAGCCTCAGTCTGCCTTCAGCCTCGGCCTCAGCCTCAGCCTGCCTCAGCCTCAGCCTGCATCAGCCTCAGCCTCAGCCAGCCTCAGCATCAGCCTGCCTCAGCCTCAGCCTCAGCGTGCCTCAGCCTCAGCCTCAGCCTGCTTCAGCCTCAGCCTCAGCCTGCCTTCAGCCTCGGCCTCAGCCTCAGCCTGCCTTAGCCTCAGCCTGCATCAGCCTCAGCCTCAGCCTGCATCAGCATTCAAACTGTGGCCCGGGAATGGAGTTTTGGAAACTCGAAGAACACGAAGTGGCCTACGGTTGGCTCCGGGCATTCAAAATCATGCCCAAGAATGGAGTTCTGGGAACTCGAAGACCACGAAGTGGCCTACGGTTGGCTCCGGGCATTCAAAATCATGACTAGGAATGGAGTTCTGGGAACTCGAAGACCACGAAGTGGCCTACAGTTGGCTCCGGGTATTCAAAATCATGCCCAGGAGTGGAGTTCTGGGAACTCGAAGACCACGAAGTGGCCTACAGTTGGCTCCGGGCATTCAAAATCATGCCCAGGAATGGAGTTTTGGGAACTCGAAAACCACGAAGTGCGTTACTCTTGGCTAAAAAAGGAGTCCCCGGATTCCGTCCGGCATCTGCCCAGACCCCGCTGGGGAGTCATGATGCTCTCTTTTGAGACCACTAGAAACCTATCAGTCTTCGCTGTTAGGTAAAAATGGGAAAGAACGATTAAAACAAATACTTGTGTGCTATTTCTGCACAATTTTCTGGCTGGAGGAGAACGATTAAAACATAGTTTTCCAGCCCGCGGCCGGTTTTTTCTAGATCGTCATCCCGGGCGCCGCCGCGTGAACACGACTCCCGGTCATTTATCCATCGTCGTCCTCCATTATATGCTGTCCCCCTGGTCTTCCTCTACTTCCCTGCCTTCCCCCCCCTGTCCCCATCCTCCTGCCAACTGGGCGGCTGCAGATTCCTGGTACGGGATGCTGCGACTCGTCCGTGCTGTCGTTTTGAGCACGCTCCCGGCCGCCACGAGGGCAGCGCTCCCAGAGTTCCGAAACCGGACGTCGAGCGGTATGGAACGAGTCGAGGGGCAAGAAGTCCACACGCATCGCACGGTATGGGATGAGATTGCAACGCAGAAAACTGTCATGTACAGGCGTATTGCACGAATGAACTGCTTCGGGCCCACGCGTCAGCATAGCACAAGAAGGAAGACATTGAAGAGGCAGAGGGACGGGGCTGGGGAAACAAAAAAGGTCCGGATACCACTGCTCCCCAGAGCTCTTCGGGAGTGCATGTTTGCCTGCATTTCAAGGAGCATCCAGCTGTGGTGAGGATGGCTCCCAGGGACGAGCAGCGGCATCGGCATCCCCTCCTCCTCCTCCTCCTCCTCCTCCTCCTCCTCCTCCTCCTCCTCCTCCTCTGAAAGGCGAGATCGAGCCACTCCTCCGCTTCCTTACGAGAACGGCGCCCATGCACCGCACGATGTTTGTACTCGCTTCAGGGTGTGGCCCCGTGCGTTATGTTCTGGGCTTCGAGCGCATAACAACAGGACAGCCGGCCCGTATTATGAGCATGCGCGATATAAGGATGCAGTGGCCTTGGACGCCCATTTCGAAGCTTTTCGAGCGGGGCGCGGTCAGCGAAAGCGGCCAAGGATGGACTGAGGAGGCAAGGATGCAAGGGTACCCTTGGGAAGGATGCCCATCCTTATTATGCAGGTTGACTGCACACCGTACCTTTCCTGGGTCGAGGATCGACGACACCTTGGGAGACGCAAGCGCGGTGCGGTGCACGCGAGTCGTCCGCAGAGGGCTTCGCGCAGAGGCGCGGTGGGCCAGGGCTGGCGGCGCGGCGCGTCATCCGAAAGCTCCCGACCGTGCTCGGACCCCAGCTCGGAAGCCTAATCTTAAGTCGGGCCGGCCCCCCTACAGGGGGATTCTGGGCGAAACATGAAACATACCCCCAAAATGCCCCCCAAAAGGTCCAAAGTAGTTTAAAAAGTAGTCCCCAGACTACTTTTGGACTATAGGTTTGAAATTTCCCCCCTGTAGAAGGACAGGCCTGACCCAAGCCCACCCTGACGTGCCCTGCGGTGCCCTGCGGCAGCCTCAGACGCCGGCCGAGTCGAGGGCGTTGGCGGCCTCCAGCAGGAGGCCCCGCCGGCGCCCCGTGGGCCCCCGCACCCCCAGCACGTGCACGTGGTGGGCGCCGGTGGCGTCGTAGCCGTGCGCGCCTCCCCCGAGCGGCGGACAGACTCGAAAGCTGGGCGAGGGCTGCCAAAACCGTGGCTGCTGAAGCGGCCCTCCCGGAAGGGAAACAAAAGCTTCCCGGAACGAGGCGCAGCACGCGGAACGGTCAACGGGCTTCTCCCTGCAGAAGGACGAAGACCACTTCCCGGAGGTCGATTTCAGCAGCCACGGATTTCGCAGCCCTTGCCAGGCTTCCGACAGACGGTCGGGAACGTTTGCTTAGCGTGTCGTCGCGGCGGCCCTGGCGACGCGCTCATCCC